CAGAGTAAACCTAAAAGTAGTAGAAGAAAGTAATAAAGCTACAGTAGAAATCAATTAAAATTTTTTTAAAAACCTACAAAATTAAGAAAATCAATGTATCAGATGATTATTGCTGCATGATAGTAAACTATTCCAAAAATTTATGTTAGAATAAGCACCATTTATTTAGTTCATTCTTCTCTTCTGCAGGCTGGTCATTTCGTCTGTGTTCAACAAAACAGTGCTGGTCTGCATCTGCGGTCAGCTGCAGGTCAGCTAGGCAGCTCTGCTTTTATTGGTTGCCTGGCTGTGGGCTGGGGCATCGACGGTGACTGGGTCACTTGTCTTTCATTCTCCAGTAGGTTAGTCTGAGCTTGTTTACGTGGGAGTAATAGGGCTCTGAGAGGGTAATTCACTTAAGACCGAGAAAGGCTTTTAATGCACACACCCTTCTTTCCACTGCAGCGTTTTGCCAAGCGAGTCAGTGCTGGCCCAGGTTCAAGGGGTGAGAGGAGCTGCAGATTTACACTGCAGGTGGAATGGATACCTTTAGGGGTGAATGGGTAATTGTGGCCATTTTTGAAAGCAGTATACCTCAGTCGACGAAAGCAAAGGTAAATTCTTTGCAAAGATTGTAAGACTGATCAGGAGAAGAGGAAGACATAGATAACCAGTCAGGAGTGAAAGAGGGGATGTTGTTACAGACCCTATAGGTAGTAAAAAGAAAATTGTACATAGACTTTATATCAACAAATTCGAAAATGTAAACAGTATGGACATGTGTCTAGATAAACACAGGTTACCAAAATTGACATATTGAGGAATAGAAAATTTGAATTTAAGACCTGAATATATAATTGAAAACCTTTTACAGAGAGAAAACTCTAGACCCAGGTGGCTTCACTACTGATCTCTATTCAATATATAAGGAAGAAATAACACCAGTGTTCGACAAGCCCATTCAGAGAGCAGAAAAAGAGGAAGTGCATCCCAGCATGGTTGGAAGCCAGAATGACCTGGATGCCAGAACCTGAGGCACATTATGAGAAAGGAAAATTACAGGCCAATTCCATTTGTAAATGTGAATTTAAAAACACCGTTATGCTAACAGACTGGATCTAGCAATTTATGAAAAGGATAATATGCATCATGATCAAGTTGAGTTTATTTTAGAAATATAAGGTTGGTTTATCATTCGATAACTAATTGTAATCCACTGCATTAACAGAATAAAGGAGAGTGATTACAGTTATCTCAGTAGATGGAGAAATGTGATAAATTTAAACATCCACTTGTGATTTTTAAAAAAGTCTTAGCAAACTAGAGAATAGAGGGAATTTTTTTAATCTGGTTAAGTATCTATAAAAAGTGTACAGATTACTTCAAATTTATGGTGAACTGTTGAAAACTTTATTCTTGAAATCTGGAACAAGTCAAGGATGACACGCTTTTATTTGACTTTGAACTCAGGGTGTGCTGGCCAGTGCCGTAAAGTTGGCAAGAAAAAGAAAAAATATGGTTGGAAAGGAAAAAAAAAGGTAACAGTTCTAACTTGCAAGTGATGTGATAGTTTACCTAAAGAATCCCTTAGAAGCTATTGAAAAATTATGAGAATTTATGATGAAGAAACAAAGTTGCTGAGGTTAAGATTTGACATAAAATTATGTGTTCCTATACAAGAAACAAAAATGAAATAAAAAATATGATACACAATAGCAAAAATAAGCCCCAAAATGTCTAGGAATAAATCTAACCAAAATGAGTAAAGACACAATAAAAAAAAAAAAAGCTTTATGCTCTTGAGAAATCTTGGTTTTGAAGACTATAGGAATATCCTAATTAAAATTATTGCAAGTATTATTTTTAGAAATTGACCAAGTGCTTCTGAAATCTGTATGGGAACACAAAGAACCAGGAACAGCTGAGAGACTCTAGAATAAGAGCAAGGTGGAATAACTTGTTTACTGCATATCAAGGTTTATTATAAAGTTACAATAAATAATAGCGATAGTAAAGCAAAGATGAGCAAATAGATTAATAAAGAGCCCAGAAGTAGACCCAGTATGCGTAGATGTCATTTTTGACAGTGCTGGCACTGTAGAGCACTTACAAAGGGATAGGCTCTTCAGGGCAAGCGGAACTCTGTGTGAGATAAAAATCTCCACAGACATCCATTCCTGGTACCCTGTAGGCCTTAATGGGAAAGGCACAACAGTGAAACTGTTGTCCATACAGAAGGATATCTTTATG